TTTTTTTTATACAGTATTTTACAGAAGAGACGTTTAGACATTTCTATCGTCCCTCGATAAATAGTCTCGGGATAAATACAATAACAAGTCTTTCTATGAAATAATTGCATACGTTTATCATTTATTTCGAAATTGCAGCACTTGCAATCGAATTTTCTCACAATATCTCATCAGAATTTTTGAAATAATTAAATTGTCAATTTATTCATGGGTAATATTAAATTTTCAATTATCCATTACTCATTATTTCGCAATTGTCCATGTAATTCAGTCAAAAAATATTTCAAAATGAATTTAAGGAGTGAGAAAAGTCCTTCTCCCCTCATAACTCATGAATGAAAAATGAAACGAATACGATAAATAATCCAACCAAAATCAAATTTCCCTAATGATCGATTGCCGATTGATGTCAGTCATTGGGGCTATCAACGGAGCACTGTTCTTTCACCTTTTCATACAAATAATCAATAGAGATCTTTTGATCCTCCAACCAGGGCCACTCAATCCGATGAACAAATGTCTCACGAAAGCTGGCACATGCATCATAAGGTCTGCGCGATCCATAATGCGTCTCATTATTATTAGGATTAAAAAAATAATGATAACCGGTGCGCTTGCTGATGACTCTCCTCCAGGGTGGATTGGTTGTCTTGAGAAACAAAACAGTATTAGGTACAAAGAAGATAGGCTCCGACTCGCTGGTGGCTCTCCTGGGATATGCAGACTCATCAGGATAATAACCATGAGTTTTTTTTCCATTTTTTAAAGTGCAGGGCCTCAAACGGAGCCTCTCAGGAAGATCTCTGTCAAGTGGATGCAACTCTTTGGCACGAACGGGACAAGAGCTGGGGGGTTTGTACTCAGGCTTCCAGAGGGCTTGACAAAATTTATTGATGAGTGCATACCTGTCTGGAAGATATTTGTGACTTACAACCTCACCACCGAGTAAATAAGCATCGACGATGTGCAATGCCTCAGTCTTTCTGATGGATCTCTGTGTGCCCCTCATCTCCTGGACAATTTCACCGTAGATAAATGTATCTGGAGGTAGTTCAATGTTGGGTGCTCTCTCCCAGGTGTTTTTAACCAGCCTGAAGACCTTGTTTCTACCCATCCCCAGGTAGAAAGTCATGGCCGTGTCAGCACCACCACACAGGACACAGTAAAATTCACAGGGTCTTGTCAATATAGTGCTCTCCAGGTTGTCAATCGTAAGTACTTGGGCAGGTGTGTTCATGGCCTGGCGAGTCGTTGCTCTCACGATGTTCTCCAGCTTGTCACCAGGTGTCGGATATTTTGGTACTATTCTACTCTGATTTGGGAGATTCCAGTGCTCCAGGCACTCTTTCCTCATCTGCGCTTGTCGCGTCTCCGCGAGTGTCCTATCCTCGCAGTAAACTGCGATCTTCAGGAGACCTACTACCTGTTTACTACCCAGTGAATTATTCGAGGTGAATATGTACTTGTAGAATTCATCAGCATCCTGTAGCAGCTCCAGGGGTACTAGCTCAGTCACGTCGTCATCCTTGTCGCCCCTCAGGAGAATTTCATTTGCCTCCTCCAGGTAACTGATTACGTCGTTGACGTCGTTCTTTCTGCCTTGGCAGATTAAATACCTCTCGGAGTTGGCTGGCCTCGAGGTGTTCGGCTTGAATATCGAGATCCTCTCGAAGCACCTGTACAAGAGGTACACGAGGCCGACACTGAAGGGTGTGAAGAGGTCGAATAATTTTGTGACGAAGTTGCCACCCCTTTGGACAATCTTCAAGGCAACCAGACACTGGCACAGGTACAGCTGCTTTGAGAGAATCTCCTGGATGGCCTGTTTGCCCTCCACTGAGAAACCACCGTCTGACATCATGAAGTGCACACCTAGGCCCTTGGTGTGCTCCATTATTAGCTGCTGGAAGGCCTGCTGGTTGTCAGGATCGTAGACATTGCCGTCGTCCTTTGGACCGTAGAACGGGTGAAATGTCTCGGGATTGCCGGCGTAGAAATCGTCCAGTTTGAAGTCGTTTGTGTCGCGCAGGGTAAAACCAAAGCCTTTGGCATGCCACTTCTTCCTCCAGAGTATGTACTCGCTGAATCCTCCAGGTCCTGCACATACGTCAGCAAAATAGAGAATATCCTGGGGATTGAAGTCCTTGGGCTGGGTGAATATAAAGCCACTGGCTTTGTCGATATTCGCCATCTTCACAGCAGCTCGATTGAGAAATATCGCACCCCTGATTGTCTCGAAGGGATTGCAACGTGTTCTTGCCCTGTGCATGTCCATTTTGTCTAGGTCATCGAATATTGCTTTGCAGCTCATTACCTGTTGGAGTATTTCAGGCTCGCAGAAGAGGGTCTCGTCGTCGATTACTTCTTTATGCGGCCCTCGTGCCAGCCAATCCTTCAGGTCATCAGCACTCGGTGGCTCCTCCTCGTTGGTTATCCAGGACATGTCCTCTTTTACCTTGACTACTTCGTCATTGGGATTCCACTTACACGTTGCCTCCACGAACTTTGAATTGTCATGGCCCAATCCTCGACGACCCTTCTGCTGAGATGCTTTCACCGGCTCGACGATACCATCACCTTTTTTACCCAGACCCTGACCCTGGAGGTATCCCATGTTTTGCATCATCCGAAAAGCAACAGAAAGCTTTTTCTCAGGTGGAGGACAGTCCTCTGGTGGGGACTCATCCTCGGGGCAATTGTAGGATCTTTTTCGAGAGTTAGAAATACCCTCGACCCTGGGGCCATCATCTGCATCGCTCTCGGAACTCTTGCTCAACCGAGACTCCATCATCGACACTCACTTTTTTTGTTTTTTCTTTTATAAATTATTATAATTTTTCGGGAGTTTACAGAAATGAAGGAATAAATTCCATGCATCATAACCTCAAATATGACAATTGCATATTTATATCTGTTTGAGGAAATCACTTGTACTGGCCATCAGTGATTTTTCGCAATGAAGGGGATAGACTTGAGACCTGGGGGTCGGTATGACCGAGAATTTTAGTACCGACTCCTCGAAAGAGAGGGCACGACGACCTCCAGGTAAAAATTAAGGTATGATGGAAGGAAGTATACTGAAGTCAGCGTAACTTTTAACATCGATTTTAGGAGTGGGGGTAATGGTTACAAGTGGTAACTACCTGGAGTGGGGGTACCCAGGGAAGTAAAAACTTATGCTGACTTCAGTATATTGCCAAGCTTTG